GAAAATGTCTTCCTTATTATCAAGTCTGAATCTACCCTCTTTAAAACCATTATCCCTTGTCCTATTGCAACAGGTTTTTCTAAAAAGTCATCTTTTTAAGCCTCCTTTAGATACTGACTGGCCACAATAAGGTCTCCCTGGCGTCGTCTCTTCTCTAGGGTGAGCAACCCCAACTCTCAGCCTGTCCTCACAGGAGTGGTGCATCATTTTTGTGTCTCTCCTCTGGACTTGCTCCAATGGGTCCATGTCTTTCTTGTGCAGAGAATCCCAGAGGTGGATGCAGCACTGCAGGTCTGGTCTCAGGATAACAGAGCAGAGGGACAGGATCCCCTCCCTTGTCCTGCTGGTCGCACTACTTTGGATGCAGCCCAGGATACAGTTGACTTTCTGGACTGTGGGTGTTCATTGCCAGGTCATGTCCAGATTTTCTCCCATCAGCACCTCCAAGTCCTTCTTGGCAGGGCTGCTCTCAATTTGGTCATCCCCCACCTGTGCTGACACTCCTTCTTGGCAGGGCTGCTCTCAATTTGGTCATCCCCCACCTGTGCTGACACTGGGGTTGTCCCACCACAGGTGCAGCACCTTGCAGTTGGTCTTGTTAAACCTCATGAGATTCCCATGGCCCATTTCCGGAACTTGTCCAAGTTCCTTTGGATGGCATCCGGTTCTTCAGGTGTACCAACCAAACCACTCAGTTTAATGTCATCTGCAAACATGCTGAGAGAACACACTGGTGGTGTCACTGATGAAGATATTAAACACTATTTTTCCCAATATGGACCCCTGAGCGGGAGGGGGGCTGACAACACCAGTTGTCACCAGTCTTCATCTGGATACTGATTATAAACAGACATAAATCATGAACAGAGGTTTGTTGTTGTATGCAGTTGCCTTCTAGTAATAAATAAATTCAGCCATCTTTTAATCAAATTATAAAATATTCATATTTGTTCACATTATTATTTTATAGAAAATTAAGCTAATTTCTGCCTACCTAAAACTCTAATACCATTGTAATAATTAATAATACCATTGTAATCTATTACGTTTCCATATGTATCTGTTTGTGAATTGTTAAAATATCAAATGTAACTCAAATCTAGGCAGCAATTAGATTTCAGAGTACTTCCCCTAGTTTATTATCAGTAGTCAGTGATCACAAAAGCAAATATGTAGAGGTTTAACATTCGTCATAACATTTCAGTTGTTCTCATAACTGAAAAATAAGGTTTGTCTTTCATTTCCTAGAGTTGTGGCTGACTCACACAATTTTGACTGATACTTCAGCAATTCAAAGCTGTATAAACAAAAAAGACAGATCAATCTAAATGAGGGTGCTGAATAAGCAGAGGCAGATGTGTATTTGTAGCTGGGTATTGTTTCATCTTGCTCTAAAAATAAGTGTGAAAAGGAATGTGTCTCTGCTCTGGGCTCAGAAAGTGAGTCACACCATAGCTGGAAGTATTCATCCTAAAAGCTTCTGGCTCTGGCACACCTCTTGTTTTCTGTCTGGTTTTTCATTTTTACTATAATTTCCTAATTCCTCATCACTATTTTAACTTTTCATAATACCTTTTTAAACTAGAGTTTTTAATTTCTTTTGTGAGATCAGTGGAGCTTCAGGAGCATTTTGCATCTTTCCTCACAGAAAGGGAGAGGGGCTGGGAAGGCCAGGCAGAGGAAAATGCGTGTAGGTCAGTCCCTGCACAAAGAGCACAAAGCAGAGCACGACACAGAGGCACATTTATAACTGAGCCCAGTAGCTGGGATCACTGGGTGTTAAGGACATCAATACAGGCACTCTCAGTAAATCTGAGTCTTGTTATCATTTCAGCATCAGGATTTTTCTGCTTCTTTACTACTACCCAAGTGCTCTTTTTTTCTTCCTCAAAGGCTTACTTTTTCTGAGGAAGCTAGGATATTGCTACATCATCAAACATTTTATCGATAAAATAAAAGTCTTACTACATCCTGACACAGGTGAACTAAAGTTAAGAAAAAAAATAAGCTGATTCCTCCTCCTTATTTCCTCATTTTTCTGCTTCTTGTGACTTTCTGACTTCCTGATCTGGTTTCTGTCATCAGAGCAAGCCTACCCATTAATTTGTCTGACTCTTCCCTGTAGAATCAGGGCGCTGATCAGGGTTCATGCAGCTCAGGGGTGGCGAGGGACACTCGGTAATTGTCACTGTGCCATGGCTTCCAAGGCACTTTGGCAGCCAAGTCAAATAGGTTAGGCCAGACCATCTTCAGCATTCAGCTGCACTCAGAAGCAGCTGGAAGCACTAAAGCAATCAGAAGCAGCCTCCAGATGGTTTCAGCAGAGGTGCTTTTTCTGCACTGCCCGTCTGCTCAGAGGCTTTGATTCAGGCCCAGCACGAAGAACTTCACTTAGGCTTAAACTGACCTCTTGACTATGCAGGGTGGCAGGTAAGCATACAGACATTTTTTTGAGTACAAGGTGGAACCTGAGTAATAGAGCAGCTGCACTTAGTCAAATGGAGGGAAAATGTCTCTACTACTGCCCCTTGGTGGATCACAGAATCACCTAGATTGGCAGAGACCTGTAAGATGTTAAGGCATAAAATACAAGAATGGGGAAGGCACGCAGAGTTACATTCTGCACTCTACAATCTGATTGTATGGAGCTCTTGATTCAGAATTTGTACCTTTACATTTAATAGGTTTTCATGGTCTTTTTCTCTTCTGTGACTTTGTATAATTGCTGTTACTGGATCATAAATGGTTACTGAATCATAAAAAACATAAAGTTTTATGTTGTAGGACAGAAGTATATACAGTATTTTCAGTCTGAAATCGAATGAGTTAAATCCTCTTTGGCCTCTGATCTTATATGTGCAATTTTTTCTTATATTTTTTATATATGTGATATTCATAGATTTTTTTGTATGTATGAATTTTATCTCTGTCTCTCACTATTGCATACAGTCAAAGTGAAAAAGTGTCTAATATTTTAAAATAACATGAGAGCATCCTTCAGTTAAAACACTTCATCTGCTATTCAGGATATTAGCATTACTGCTAATTATTACTGCACTCAATTTTGTATGACAATGACAAAACTAAGAACAAAGGAAAAAAAGCCAAGGTACTGTGCTTTAGTTTCACAGTTTGTGTCACACTAGTACAATATCCCTGGGATATATCTTCTGATATTTATGGAATCAGTGGAAATCAGTGCATATTTTACAAGTTTTGTCAAGCTTAAGGCCTCTGAGGCACTGATTGAAACTGGTAAAATAGCTTAGGCCAGGGAGCTTCATTATTAAGGAATCCTTTTTCTGAAGTATGTGATATTACAGATACACAATCTCACCAATAAAGGTAACATGATCTTAGGGCAATCCAAAAGTAGACTTCTAACTGAGCACTGTTGGTTTTCAGATACTCTCAAAACAGCCTGTACTGTCAGAGCATAGAAATTTGACTGCAAACAGATCTGGTCTTGACATTCCTTGGAGGTACAGTTCTGTGGGTGGATCAATGTAGATTTCCTTTTCCCCCCTTAGACCCCAAATCCTGCTCCTCTGCTTTAACTCTGGCACTCAGGGAGCTCCCACTGTCACCCCTACAGAGCCACATCTCATTGCCCTGCTGGGGCTCTTGGTTAAACCTGCTGCCATCTCACAAAATTCTAAAAAAATCTGCAGTGAGTCAAAGTTTCATTCAAACATGCCTAAGTCCAGGGTGACTATGAGTGTCATTTAACAGAGTACATTTTTACTGTGAATTACAATTACAGAAACATCTGTTATTAATATTGTTTTCCTAAACTGCTGTGAAAAAATCATTGAGTATTCAGCAGTTGCAAGGCTGTCCAGTTACTTACCTGTATTGAGGTGTTCATGTGGCAATAACATAGCAAGTCTTTGGATACACACAGAAATAAAAGTGCCAGTAATAATTTTTACTCTGCCTGCAAAATGTATGATGGTTTGTTGTGCGCGCATAACATATGCATTTATTTTTGTTGTGCCAATGTCATGCCTATGTGTGGTCACAATAGTATTGTCATATTGTCATAATATTATCATATTATTTATGTTTCTTTCTAGAAAGTACATGCTTTAAAAATATTATTAATTATGCTACTGATCTATTTTTAACCATATTTGCAATGAAACATTTGTGTATCAGCAAGACACTAAATTTGAGATCAGATGTGATAGAAATGCAAACATACAGATATTGACAGATAAAATGGGACTGTGGTCCATCTAGTCTAATAATCCTTCTGACAGAAAGTAGATGACTCAGAGGAAGTTGCCAGAAATTTCAGGAGACACAAATAGAGGGAATCTGTCAGCCACTTTAAGTCTTCTCAGAATTCCTTAGTACTTGGAGATAATGTTAAGCCTTAAAGAATAAGGTTTCCACCTTATTTCCAAAGGTTTCTTTGAAAATATATTAGCCTTAATTATTACAAATTTTGAAATCATGAATAGCAAAAATTTCACAAATATGAAATACAAGATAGTGAACATGGTACTGAAAACTGCAAATCTCTGAATAATTGGATGATTATTTACTTTCTAAGCAGATGAGATAAAATGACATAGCATAATAAATAATCAATATTCTCATCATAATTTTGATCCTTAAGAAACTCTTGTTTTGTGGCATAAATGTTGCCAAACTAATTTGTCCTAACTAATGATTTGAAATAAGAGAACAGATCTTGGTCAGGTATTTGGATGAGAGGAATGTAAACTTAACCTGTTATAGTTTCAGAAATTGCTAATAAGATACTTGTTTGTGAGCATGATTGGATCACTTGTGCTACCACAAAGAAAATTTATTACCATTTCATGGAAGGTAAACATTTGATTTTGTAGAAAACATTTTGAACTATTCTTTATTTTAGCTGATGAGCCGATCCTACCTCGCACATCCATTAATCTAAGACAAAAGGAGCAGCAGCAGCAGCAGCCTGTGTATTTCTGCAATCTTATGTGTTTTTCCTTTTCTTCTCTTTCCAGACAACTATTACGGCACTCCAAAGCCTCCAGCAGAACCAGCTCCATTGCTGTTAAATGTGACAGACCAGATCCTCCCAGGTGCCACTCCCGGGGCTGAAGGCAAACGGAAAAGGAATAAGTCTGTGAGCAATATGGAGAAGACAGGCATTGAACCACCAGAGGAGGAAGAGGAAGAAAGACCTGTGGTCAATGGCAATGACGTGACAGTAACACCAGGTCTGTTCTTCCTTCTTACTTTGCAGTGAGTTTCTGTTATTCAGAGTCCTCAGTTCCCTCCTTCTGCAGTGAGAATATGAATGTTCAGGTAAGGATGTTCTTGCAAGAGGGAAAGGCAGGAATTCTGAATATTAGGATTTCTCTGAAGACTAAAATAATTATTTAACCTCTATTTTGGGAGTCATCTCACTTACCTCAGCTAGTGTAAAGATTTCTGTCTCTGAACTAGTCTCTTTGAACCCTCTTCATAGACCAAAGAGAAAAATACCATCTTTCTGAGCATGGATTGTGACCTGGTTTAGATTTCTGTGTTAGGAAATCATTCACAAGTGCCTGTTCCTCTCTGTTGACTATAGAGGGAGTCTAGAGAACTGCAATTTGTTCAGATAAATAGTCTCTGTTGTTTGGGTCTTTTTATTCTTAAATGGTGACGCTCACAAGATTGTTCAGCATTTTATATCATGAAATTTTGTAAATTGTCATGAACACTTAGCAATATAATGGAAGACTAAAGTCACCATATTAACAAAGGTGTGGCAGTGCCATTAAAACTTACCTGGCAATACAATCTGGAGGACACTTTTCAGGAATGTTTCAGAGCCTGCATAAAGCTGATAAGGGTTTCAGATGTCAAGTCCTAAAAGACAATTGTTGATTTGTTTCTTGGGTCACAATGCTTCAGAAAAAAAAGGGGTTCTGGGTACTGACTGGTATCTTGAGTGAAAGCACTTCAGCCTACTCGGAAGCAGGTAGTCAGTTTCCCCTTCCACCTCTCAGCAAGACAATATTTTACTGAACTTAATAATTCTTATCCTGAAACAGAATTTAAGAAATTATTTTGTTATTGTTCATGTAGAAAATTAAATAATTCAGATTTTTATATCATTGAGAAATATTGCTGTGAATCCTTTCTGACAAACTTAGAAACTCAGATTGTTGAAGTAGAAGATTAGTGATCACACAGATGAGAAGATAAAATTAAATATTGTAAGGCCTCTAAATGTACAGGTTACTGTGGAAGAAAAAATCTATTACCTAATCTTCTAAGCTCTGTAGAGGGGTTTTCATATTGCAAAGTCTATATATACCCATTTAATTCCTCCTTCATTGCAAAGTATACTGAATTTGATATTTTCCCATCCAGGATGATTTTGCCACATGCTTTTCCTTAGCTGTTGCTTAACATTACATATAAGGGAAAATTCCTGTGCAGAACCCATCCCCATATACCAGCGGTATCCAGGAGCAGTGGGGTGAGAGTGGGTCTGGTTCTTCCCCTTGGCTCTCCAAAGGGCTGCAGTATTGCTCCCTTGCCACTGCCACCACATGCTGCACAAGCCTTGCTCATCCCTTCCACACAAGATTGCAGCTGTTGGCATTGCTCTGGCACTTAGTGCCCTTCCTACACAGCTAAGCAGGAAAGGATGGAGCTCCTAACATCAGCACTGCTGCTGTTGCCAGGATACTTCCACAGTGAAAGAGGCAAAGGCAGGATTTGGTCTCTGATGTGTATTGTAGAAATCGTTAGAAAGATCATTCTTTGCAGTTACTCAAAATGTGCCACATAAGAGACCAGTGCTGGGGAGCAATTTCCAGGACAATATGTTTCCGTTCCAAGTGGATCAAGAGGCAATATTTACCTGCATTTTTTCCTTGAATTCTACACCTATAATATGCTTCTCCCAGGCAAATTCTGTGTGAACAATGACTAGGCAGCACACAAGAAGCAGGCGCTGGCATGTGCTGTGTAACAAAATGAAATACATGAGCATGGGTGTAAGACAGCCCACCCCCTCTTCCCCTCCTCTCCCTGCCTGAGTAAATCCTATTGGTGTGGCCAGCAGAACAAGCAGTGCCTGTGTTGGCTCTCATGGTTTTATAAGCAGTGTTTTGTTGTTCAGTTACACTGATTGAGGACTTTGGGGATTGTAGCAAAGCAGCTCTGTACATACATGCTGTGTTGCCTTTGTTGGGCAGTGTGGCTCCCACAGACCCTGTTACCGCAGTCATTTTCTCTGTCAGCTGACAGAGGCTTAGTCACCTCTAAAATGTCAGTGCATTTGCAGTTTGTGTCTTTAAACAATCAGGAAAACCAGAATATTTTAATTAATTTATTTATTTTTAAACTCCTGGTGCAGAGAGCATTTTAGTTTTTATAAAGAATCAGCAAAAGTAGGACATTTGTTATTGCAAATTCTTTTAGTAAGAGTGTTCTATTTTAAATACTTCACTTCCAGGAGGAGGCTTTTATTAATTATAAGGCTCCTGGGACATCTGAAACATTGATTCATTTTTTATAGATGCTCAGCAATTTAATGGCTTATTAACTGCATATCTGAGCCTGTCAACTCAAGTACCTCTCTAACACATAAGACCATGAGTTTGAAATAGTAACAGATCTAACATGATTCTGAAGAAAAGAAACCCAACCTTATCAGACCAATTAGGTGATATCTGTGGTTACAGAGATCTTTGTGCTTTTGGTCTGAATTTTCAGGCAACTTTTCAGTGTCTGTTGGCATAATCTGTGCAAGTGTTGAGCTTTAGCAATTTTTCATTAATACCTTCCATATGCCTGGCTTCACGTCCATCGGATTTCCCTGACACAGTTGTATATGGACAAAGTGACCATAATTGTCTGCCCAATATGTTTATTCTTTCTGATTTGTGTCACCTGTCCTCAGCCCAGAAACCACAAGGAATCCTTCTCAGTGCTTTGGTATGGGACTTTTGGCCCTTTTAGGATGGAACCCTCTCAGTCCTTCATCCTGGATCAAGTTCTCTCAGGACAAAACAGTATAATTCGGGAGATGGGATTTATCTCATCCAGCTTTAGTAATTTATATGCCTACATGTCTTACTTTTTTCTTTGAGCAATTTGTCTCTGCTCTGTTGATATAAAATAAGAAGAAAAAAGAAATTTTTATGTGTAAGAGATCATAGCTGTTTTAGATACACATTTTAGGGGATCACCTCTACAATTTAAAATTATTAATTTAGCCTACAGATAGAAGAGCTTAAATGGCTAAATTTAAGTGAAGAACCTTACTATTTTCCAAGAAACGTGGGAGATATAATCTATAGATTAACTGTTAGAATGGGCAAGTCCAGACTTAGTATTGGGTTTCTTATGCTTAGTGCAATTGTCCACATTACTGGGTGAGAGATAGTGCACCTCAGAAGACTTCCCTGACAGACACTGTGTTGAAATTAATGATGTCTGCAAAACTAATGCTTTGACAAAGAGGTAAAAAGAGTCTTGATCAAATAGTAAGCAGAAACTTGTCAGACATTCAGCAGTTTTTACTGCTGTCACTGTTCATGTCTGCAATGGATTGAGTCAGTCTCCTTTACAACCAGCATCAATATTTTTGACACTGCGTTGGTCATGTCACATTTGCTTTCCACTGCACTGATGAAGTTTATCATCCAAACTCCAGAAGAATCACTTTAACATTGAAAGCATGCTTATGTATGTGCATTATTCTGACAGTACTTGAGCAATGATAAGTTGCACCCAGAGAATGAAGTTCTGTCAGGCTGAAATTAATTGAGGCGTAAGATATGGCATAAAGTTTCAAAATTATCATTCCAGGCCTTAGGAATGAACAAAAGACCAGAGTCCCAATGCCATCAATCACTATGCAAGTTACACTAGACCCAGGAAACATGTTGAGTTTATTGTTTTTTAGTTACATAGCAAAGACAGCCAGAGGCATGAAAACAACATACAAAGCTTCTAAAAACACACACATTTAAAATACACACAAAATTTAAAAACACACAAAAGTTGGTATCCATTGATTTTTCTAGGTTCTTTAAACTCAATTTATCACAACTAAGTCACATCCTGCGACCCACAGAATACCCTGTGCTCACCCAGTCTCCGTGACTCCTGCTTTCCTTGCCCAGGTCAGCCCCTGGCTCCCGCTGAGTCAGGAGTCACCTGGAGCAGTGCCTCCATACAAAAGCACCAAGACCTGAGTATGGCTCCAGCTCTACGGGAAAGGGAGAAACTCCAAGGCTACAAGGTTATATCTCTACAAGATAATACATTTTCATATATTGGCAAACATGAGTTAAACTACTCTTGTATTCAACAGTTATTTTAAAATTATTGACTCTTTCCTGTACAGAATTTAAGAAATTAGCCATTTGATACAATAAGGGTATCAAGATACAAAATATTTTTATGCACTACTGCTAAAAGCACCCCATAAATTGCTATTTTTTTTTCCTTTTTGATATTGCTTGGTTCATATTAATTGGTTCTTTTGGATGAAGACACTAAGTTTTTGAACTTCTCTGCATCAATAATCTGCAGCATTAAAATAAGGGAATAAAGTGACAAGGTCCTCTTGCATGTTTAGATGGCAAGTTTCAAGAATTAGACTGTAAATAATAGAAACGGGTTTCCCTTTTTTTTTTTTTTTGTCATCATTATGGCTGGGATTTGTTAATGTAGTTATTGAAAATCACGAATCTGACCCCTTCAGACCTGTTGAAAATAAGATCTTGATGAAGAACACATATTAGAGATATGGCAAAATCCCAGGACACAGCAGTGTCACCAAATCTGTGCCCTATCAGACACATTGGATGATCAATAGTCATTGTGTGTGATTCATCTCTGCCCCAAATTAATTTGTTCTGCTGTGTTCATATCTGCCATGTGACCTTTGTCTTATATTCAGTTTAATCTGCATGTCTTCCTTCCTGTGGTAGAGATATGGTCAAGGCTGTAGCCAGCCTCAGGAATGCAGCTCACAGATTTGTTAATAATGCCTGAAGTAGATGAGGGCTTTTGCTTTGCAGAGATAAGAACAAAACACCCCAGAGATTATTCAGTGATTATTACATTGTCCTATTCTCAGGGGAAGTGGGGACCATACATCATCTTTGCTTTGCAAGAAGCTTTTACCTATTTGAAAATGCTACAGACAGATAGATTCATGTTTCCAAAAAGCATAAAATTATTGTAATTCCACATAGTTCAAGTATGAGTTAAGATTTACCAACATGAGCTGCATGTGGATGTAGAGCTGTAGATCACTACCCTTTCCAAGGCTGAATCTGTTTTTTTTCATGCGGTTCTAAAGGGATGATGTGTCAGTGTCAAAAGTATTTTTTAAGATCATGAAAGCTGTATATACCATTTATGCCCAAGAAGCAGCACCTTTCACTATGTCATGTAAAAAAAAAAATATATTGGACACAATTTCTTCCTGAAAAGTCTTGACAAATATTTATGACCTCTGAAGAGTTTACGTGTCAGTGCTTTGATTCTTACTTCCAGTCTTAGGAATTAAAAAGAGAAAGATGTGCAGTTACAGTTTCATGGGTCTTCCTCCTCATTTCAGACAAAACTTAGGTACTCAGAAATTAAGAATGTAAAACTATCTAAAAACCAAAATCATATATACATTGCTGAAATCAGGGTTGTGTTTATCCTTTCCAAGTTTCTTTTCTCTATGAAGTCTGGAAGGTTGCTGTTACTTGCCATGAGTCTGCTTTTGTGATTCTCTCTGTACCGCAGGTTCCACTTCATCCAGCTCTGCCAGCTGAGAACAGCTGGGTCATTTAAGTTTCATCTGACCTGTTCTCTGCCCACTCCACCTTCATTAGCCCTATTGCTGATATGAATTATGTTAGTCATTTAATCACAGGTGATTTTTTTTTTTTTTGTAGTAGTAGTGGCTGAGACAAAAAGAGCACTAATTGCCTTGAGGTTTTTATGCGTCATAAACTATTAGCTCTCCTTCCTTCCCACATAGTAGAAAGAATCTGCTTTTGGTATTATAATTACTATTATTATTATTATTATTATTATTGCACTTACAGAGAATTTTTTTGTTAGCCCTAATGTCCTGACCATATCCCAGTTTCTAGACTGACTGTTCTGTTTTGCTGTTAGATGCCTGTGTTATTTTTCTGTGCTCATCCTTAACAATTTAATCTAGTTTTCACCTTTTGTACAATTCTGTCTCAAGTAGCAGCTCATTGCACATTCATGACTTAATTAAAAATTTCTTTGGTTATACTTACTATTTTTCTTTTTCATTAGAAATTTTTACATGTATTCTCAGTATTGTTTATTCAATTTTTACTAGTTCTCCTAAACTTTTTCTCTCTTACCCTTGCTTACCATAATAGCACATTTATTGATTCTGTGGGTTATTTAAAAATCTAGGCCTTTATAAACAGTTTTTGATAATTTTTTGTTGCTCTTCTTTCTTGCTGTTGTAAGCATCACTAATTAGAACATTTCACCCAAGCTGTCTTCCACCTTCCTACATGTTTCACACAGGTATCTGCATAGTTCCTTGCCCTGAGTGCGCTGTTAGATCATTTTAATAAATTGTCATTTTCTTGAACTTTCCTGTAGACTACAGTGTTGACATGTTGAAGCATTTGGTATTGTCTCTGGGAAACTAAGCCTCCCACAGGTCGTATCAGCAATGAAACCACAACCACTTTCTATATGGTTAATATATTGCTATGAGCTGATGGATGTCATTGGTTTATTTGATATATGGATACATAAAGCAATTAGTGCACATACATTTTTAAGTGAAAAGGATCTGTAGTCTGTAGTAAAACAGTGGGATAGTTGTTTTATGTGTATATATGTGTGTTTTTGAGTATAGTTTGAGAAGTTAAGACATGAGACAGTAGAGCTGCTGGATATGAAGCTGCCTTCTGCTCAGACCTTACTGCTAGTCTGGAAGGACTTCTGAGACAGAAGGAGCCAGAACTCTTTATTAGCCTCTTGTTTCAGTATGGTTTTATTCCTTTATTTACTTATATTGTGCTCCAAATAAAATGCATAATCAGAAGAACCTTTGTGTAAACGAAACAGAATTTTTCTCTTTATTTCAAGACTTGCAGTTCACAGAGACTTGCACCCAGTAAATTCTTCATCATTAACTTGTATATCCAAAACCTGTAATTTTTCTTCTCTTGTAGAATCAAGTGAACATGAAGAGAAGAGTACAGCTGTCTCGGGTGAGGCATCTACCACCCAGCCTTGTCCTGCACCAGGATATGGTCAGCCTGAAGAAGCAAAGGAGGATATGGATGTAACAAAACAGACTAAACCTGAAGAGAATGATGATTTGGGCCCACTGCCTGATAACTGGGAAATGGCTTATACAGAAAAAGGGGAAGTCTACTTTATTGAGTAAGTCTTATTTCTTCTATTTTTAATAGCTGCATTGTATTTAACTGGGTGGGAAAAGGGTTTGTATGGTGAAGTGGAGCATTGCACTCCTCCTCATTAAAACAGCAGGAAAGTTCTGGCTGTCAGGACTCCTGAGGGCTGGTGGCAATTCCTGCATTAGTGATTTAGATGGAAGCCTGCTGGGTTTTAAGATAGGTAACTGGTCTGCTTCTTTTGATGGTAGGAATTAAAGCTTTTGTTTCCTCTGTTAAAAGCAAGGCCTTTCCTCTCTTCTGGTGCTTTCTGCTGGGAAAGTAACACAATCACTGGTTTTGTCCTTCTTTACGTGGACAGAGGTGGAGAGCATGAAGGTTTTTTCCATTTGAAGGGGAGGAAAATAAGTGGACTAAAAGCCAGCTAATGAAGAGTAGAGGGAGACCATGCTGTATATAGAAACAGTGAAATAAATGACTGGACTATAAGGAGAATTAGTTATGTGTAGAAGCTTTTCCCTGTTGGTAGACTATACGTACCTGTTACTAATTAGTAAAGTCATTGAAGTAATGGATATGGAAGTTCTTTATGCTCTGTGTACTCTCATTAAGCTATTAGAGAGCTTTCAAAGGAGGGCTGTGAGAATAGTGAAAGGTCTGGAGGGGAAGCCTTATGAGTTGCAGCTGAGGTCGCTTGGTTTGTCCAGCCTGGGGAAGACAGTGCTGGGGGAAGAACCCATTGCAGTCTGCAGCTTCCTCATAAGAGGAAGAGGAAGGGTAGACACTGATTTCACTTGTGACCAGGGACAGGACTCAAGGAAATGGCCTAAAGCTGAGTCAGGGACGTTTAGATTGGATATCAGGAAAAGGTTTTTCACCACAGAGGGTGTTGGGCACTGGAACAGGCTCCCCAGGAAAGTGCTCACAGCACCAGCCTGACAGAATTAAGAGGGTGTGGACAATGCTCCTGGGCACATGGTGTGATTGGAGTGTCCTGCATAGGGCCAGGAGTTGGACTTGATGGTCTTGATGGATCCCTTCCAACTCAGCGCATTCTATGATTCTATTATTAATGTACATTACCAGGATAAAAATACAGCAATTTTCTGAGCTGGTATAAAATTGTGTTCTTCAAAAGAAAAAAGAAAATGGAAAAACCAACATTTTCATCAGTAGAACTTTACAACAGAGGTAGAAGAAGCATTTATGTTTGTTTTAAGGAACTGCCTCAGTTTGGAACATTATCTGTTATTCTGATTATTAGTAGGCAAAAATAACATTTGGTGGTGTCAATTATGCTTTAAATCCTGTATTTAATTTAAAATGTTGTGACTATCACATGAAGTGTAAACAAATGTTAAGAATAAAGTTTGTGCATGTGACTTTTTAATGAATACTGGCATGACCAACTATAGCTTCTGGCATATACAAGGCTGAAAATAGTAGTAACTATTAAAACATAAGTGTGTTTGCTGAAAAGGGCAAAAATATGCTTGTTCTAGAAAAAGAATAATTATAATAACTTTGTCCAGGCAAGCAGAGAAAAGCTAGGATGACCTCAGGGCTAGTTGAAACCCTTGTTTCCTTCTTACCTTACTCCCAAATTTAATTTTTCCACACATATTGAACGACCTGACAGAAAGCAGACTGAATTATATGACACTTTTATTTTCCTTGTAACAAAAACCTGTGGTACATTTGGGGGATGGGGGAAGGGATGATGGGTAGATCACTAACACACCAAGCTGTGATAGCAGTAAATACTGCAGGAGGTAATTTAATAGAAAATAAATATACATTTTTGTAACAAATACGGTGAATGCAAATAGCCCTGATGCTCTACAGAGCAGCCATTGCACTCCTCAAATTCCTTTAATGTTACAGCTTACTTCCTTTCCTTGAAATGCTCTGGATTACACTGCAGTTCTGACAATGCTCATCATTCACTTCCACTAAATGAATGTTATGTAAAGCAAAGAAATCAATCAGAGGTGCAGACTGGATAGAAGGGCTGTTATAAGGACTTCTTGCTTTTGGGATTATATTCTTTAACAATGTATTTGCAAAAAAGTGCTATTACACGTCTGTAAAAATACTAGATTATTCACTAGAACCCTAGCAAAAGGAACAACTCTCTGATCATTTGAGCTTTCACATTGCACAGTCTTTGCAGGGTTAAGTAGGAATGTAATGCTGAGGGGATGCTGTTAAATTGCCTCTTTGTTTACAAGTCACTTTGGTTAATGGCATGAAGAGACTCCATTTGCTTTCACAAAAAAACGGAAAGATAAAAAGACAACAAAAACCTATTTGTCTAACAACATCTCCCTGAACAGTAGTAAAGATTGTACTAGATTATTAAATAATAGATGAAAAACAAACATTTTTAAAGTGTACATCACAATAAGTGGGGGAAAAAAGCCACACTAGGCAGCATCTTTTATTCCTTTATTTGGGGCTCATGTGAATTGTGCCTTTTAACGCTAAAGCCTTCCAGCAGCAAACAATCTCAAGTTCCAGGTCGTCACAGGTATACCCAAAGGTCTTAGATTTCATGACAGCAGTTTCATTCATTCACCTCAAACTAACCTCTAAAATTCAGATGTGATCTCACTTATCAAAACTGCTATCAGAATAGTGTGGCAGATTTACAGTGAGAGAGGAAGTGACTTCATAAGGGGAAAGATAATTGTCTATAGACAGGATTATTTATTTGTTAATCATTAATGGTTCAGTTAACTTTTTGTAAAGCACAGAGGAAGGAACTTCCTCTGCCTCAGGGACTACAAAGACTCAAAAAAAATATCATCTACCAGATTCAATGAATGATTCAGAGGATGGTTGTATTTTAGAGCACGTTTTGCTCTGTTTCTTCCTTTCATTTCCTTTTGACATAGGTGTGTGACCTTATGTTTACCTATTTTAGCGTTCACAGACAGAGCATGAGAATCTCTTCTTGCAACATAATACTTGCCAGTGTTTTTCAGGAAGACCTACTTAAGTACATTTCTTGGGCTGTTTACAGCCTCTCTTACATATGAATCTGAATTTTCAAATACAGGCACACACTACACAAATAGGACGCCATCTCTTACATTTGGTTTCACTGAGAACATATGCTAATGAGAACATGCAATAATTAACAGACTGTATATAAATTGGAATGCCATCAAAAAACACTCCAGTTTTGCTCCTTCTTTAGTGCTTTAAATATGGCTGATAAGTGTGGCATATTTTGGCATGCTTAAATAAATCATAGTCATCACTGATTTTTAGCTTTTCCCTCTCCCAGGGCTAAGGAAAGGCTGTGATTCCCCATAGCCTTCAGACTTTGCCTTGCCAACAACTCTCAAACCACATACTAGGGACCCAAATTTGTGTGATTCATCTCTGCCCCAAATTAATTTCCTCACAAAGTCAGCAGATCTGGATGCTAGATCCCAAGCAATAGGTGTTTGCTCTGTTGGTCCAGTGCAGTGCCAAAGCAAATAAGAAAGGACCAGCATGCTAGGTGCACATGCTATCATGTGCAGTCATCCTGAAATGTGGCCCTCACCCAGCTGTCCAGCTTCACCCCATACATTATTACATCATAGACTGTCCTGTGCGGCTGGCTACACAATTTAATACTCTTTTATAAAAGGCAGAATTGGTTTTCTCTCTCTCCAGCCTTCTCTCCACACATAAGCAGCAGAACTCTGAAAGGGCCGCAGGGACAGTAGGAGATGAAACCTAAAGCTATTTGACTCTATACTGTTCAAAATCATCTATGGTTTCCTTTGTTTATCCTACATTAATTGTTTTCTTAGTGGAATCGAGAATAAATGCAAGCCATAATAGAACACTTTTAAAGGATTATTTTTTTACTTGTGTTTATTAATTTTAGGAGAATGTGGCCACACAAGGTTTAACAAACCACTTTCCAGTACATCTTGCAGGCATTTGGTCTCTTACTACTTCAACATCTACTTCTTAAAACAGTATAGTCAGCATTGCTTTTTGGACCTGTTGCAGTATCTTTTCTAGTTGCTAAAGACTTTTTTTCATTATGAAAGTATCATAAAATACTGAAAAACAGCTATAAAATAGTCCTGTGCAAGGACTCTCCTTTTCACTGTAATAAACAGCCATTAAGTTTTTTAATACAGGTGGTGCAATTTCAGGTGATATCTGAAGAGTACAGCTACCAGAATATTGCTATGGAGTTCACTGGGATCAATTTTTCTTCATAGTAGTTTTTAAGGCAGGAAAGTTTTTGACTGCAGGAATTACATTTATCCCAACATCTTGTTTACCTGAAGAACCATGATATATTTAGTTGTTCCTGATTGTTCATCAGTTCACCATCACAAAGCAGGATGTTTGAGTTAAGCCTGGATACACCATTATTGTATTTTATACTATAAGATACTAAAAGTACTGGGTAAAGTATACCCTTCTACCTGCTCAAGATTACTTTCATATCCTGCAGTAACTACGGGAACTTTTATAAGTTAGTTTGGCACTTCTGTGAGTATGTTACATCAGAGAAGGAGGCTATAATACTGAAATGTTTTGGTTGTCTGGTTGTTTGGTTTCTGCTACTTGAATTAAGTAGCAATTAGGATGAAGGATTTTTTTTTTCCACATACTGGTATAATATTCACTTCTGATGGGATTTTTCTTTGGGAAACAAGCCATCTTGTATCAGTAAGATACATTGTATAGACAATTCTGACCCATCAGGGCTCTTGTGAATATCATTATAATTGGTTTTCTTTGTTTATGTATTGGATTGGATCTGTCAGTTTTGGTCAGCATAACAAATCAGATTTCTAATGCACTTTGGACTTCAATGTGACATACAGCAGGACAGGCAGCTGAAAGAAACCGAGAGGGATCTTTTCTCCTGAGACCACTTCCTTGCCTCATGACAAGTTAATTAGGAACATGAAGATGGTAGAACTGGAAAGAATTTGTGGAATTATGAATTCCTTTTTTTTCCACTTGTCTATTGATGTTATAAAGACATTTTCAGTCTGTACTAGT